GGTTGTTGATGTTTTAATCTTCGCGTTGTTACTCGCGCCCAGAATAACATGAACCGGAAGTAAGCTCTTTGTGTTAGTATCTTCTATAGTTACATCTTTCAGATAACGGTATTTTCCGATCATTTCCCTGTAGTTCGGGTTTCCACGCACAACATTTCAGCACGGCCTACTCTGTTTGCGCTGAGAGGGATGATATAGTTTCCTTTTGTGTCACTCACTTGCACGTTGTAGGTTTCAGTTCGCTTGGTAACAGTGCCCACAATAGTTTTTATTTGACGCGTGAGAGTGCATGACGGTGCAAGATTTAATCGATCCAAGATGTATCCTGAAGCATAAGAGGCCGTTGCCCTGGTATCCAAAAGAGCTCTTCAAGTCATGCCATTCACTTTCACGAGCACAACGGGGTGGCGCACTTTCTCTCCTTTTTGGGTCGCAGTTAACACCACTCTACCGTTGTTTGTTGTTTGGCGTCCAGCTGTTGTCGAGCGATCGCAAATGGCGAGTGATGCGCGGCTAAGGCATTGAGATGCATTATGTTGTGTTCCAGTGCAGTTAAAACACAAGTGTTTGCTTTGTAGAATTCGTCTTCGCTCTGCTTGAGATGTCACGCTGTCACATTCCCAGGATCTGTTAATCACGCGATCGCAGTAAACACACGCGTGTCGTGGGATTGATCCGCGATTTTACGCGTAGAAACAACTTTCGCGGGGAATACGAGGAGGACGCGGCGGACGTGGAGGGCCAGGATGCTGAGGTGGAGGCAATGATGGAAAGATCCCGTGAACCGACTCATTTACTTTCATTGTATAGATGGCTTTCCATTCTTCTAGCGATTGCATAAGCTCCTCGAATCCCCAATCTTTCCATCCTGGTTTCCCATTCACGAGATCTGCTTTTATGCTAGGCAACTCGTCCAGAACCCCATGCACCTTAGGTAAACAACCAGAAAGTTTTCCTAGAGTCTCTAGAGATTGAACATTACAATTCAAAGTCTGCCAAAATTTGTGGATTTCCTTTGGTGGGGATCCAGATATCACCAGCAACGCATTGACGTTATCAATGTATGCTCGCACAGTCTCGCTCCTTCTTCCCGTAATTGGATTTCAAGAGGTTCTTAGCACGTTCGTAGCCTTCGGCATTCTCACATTTCCCTTACTGGAGACTTCGCGGTTGGTTGATCTAATTATTGCACTTCTGACTTCTGTTCGAATTTCAGTTTGTCCTCCCGCTTTTTGGCAAGGAAAGCTTTTTCTTCTTCGCGTTTTTTTTATATCTTTCGTTCCAACTTCTCCTAGATAACGAGTTAAATCCGTTACTTGCGAGTCTACTTCCTCAAGCGTTTGTTCGATTATTGCCCCCCATTCCGTCACATCCTCAATACTTCATGCCGCTACTAGATTACCTTTCTCAATTTCCAGTTTTAGAGCTTCGATGTTCGCCACAATTTTCCTTAAAGCTTCTCCATAGCGGGCTATTTTTTCATTGCTTCCACAACTGCGTTAGTCTCCCCGCGCGTTAGAACAAAAAGTTGAAGCTCGGCATCGAGAGCCTTGAGTTTAGGTTCTATAGTTGGTCCCGTCGTTCATTCTCTCTTTTTAGATTCTCTCCATTGATTTTAGGTTCTATAAAGGGTCCCGTCGGAGATGCCATTAATGTGGGGAATAGGTAAGGAACCCACACTGTCGCTTTTCTCTTCCAGATTTTTCATTCTCTTTTTTTAGATTCTCTCGCATGCACAACAAATTATCTCAGACTGACTAAAACTACAATCAACTGCTCCTTTATCGTATGGACACACCTTGATCAAACGTAAGCTGATTGGCTATAAAAGATCTTTCAGACAAAAGATAAACAAACTCATTCATTAGAGCAGACAGAACTTACACTTGATTTCCGGCCAGATATTCCACAATTATTACATCAACTTAACTTCAATCAATACTAATAATACTGTTTCCGATATTGCCGCAATGAATCGCGAAATCGCGCGCTGGATTTGTAGCCGCCCGGTCATTTTGAGCTTGGATTCTTCGGAAATGGAGCGTGCAGCTTTGTCCTTCTCTTGTGTAGTAAACCTAGAAATTAACAACTCGCTTAAATGGCTTCTTTTCAACATAGTAAGCGGTCAGGTGAGAAGCGATGCTCTGTAGAAGTAAGGTGAGGTATTGTTATTGAGAATTTGACTGTATTTTTTTATTCACAGGAGCGGTCGTAAATATTTTCCTTCAAACTCTTATAATTTCGCCATGAATCTTATTTCGCAAGATGATCATTATGCAGCTGGAGCTTGGGCCGCCTGTTGTTTGCTTGCTATGTATATTACAGTGCGTTGCTATGTGGTATCCAAGCAGGTGATAAAGTCCTGCAAAGAGCCTATTCAGTTGTTCACTTAAATCAAGGTGTTTCCCGGCAGGAAATTGATTATTCGCACGGTTCAACCTTAAAGCAGTTTTTACGTGTCCGCGTAAAAAGAGGTAAGGCAACTAACTGATAAGAGTGTTACATAATTGATTATGGTTTCTAGTCGCGCACATTGTAAAATGCCACAAATTATTTCAAATGCGAGTGCATATCAGAACTTAGGCAGCCGGTCTTTGACGATTGAAATGAGTGTTTTAGTCTTTCCAATTAAACCAAGTTAAAGCAATTCGTCGCCCTTCTTAACCATGAATCCTCTTCGAAGGTATCAAATTTCAACATCGATCGGCCTTTCGTGGTTCAGGAGTGCTAATAAAGCTGTCATGGAACCTATGTATACTAACAGCGTCTAGTTATTATAGTAGAAGTCCTTTCAGCCGTTCCTTATGCTGAAAATGTTACCCGTTGGATTCAACTTTCGCAATGTAAACAAGCACACTTGTTCATAAACAGAAGCTACGGTTCTTACATTTGATTGAGGTTTTTAAATGAAAGAGGTGGTGAATCTATTTCGGAAAGACGAAACCGATAATTTTCTTTAACAATAAACTCACTTCAATCTGAGGGTAACCTATCTAATTGCAAAATACACTGATTAAATTAACCGCGAAGGGAACCAAAATTTAAACATAACTCAGTTGAATCTGAGGGCAACGTTATCATCGTTTTAATTATTAATTCCTTAATTAATCCGCGTAAAGGAAACATAATCTTTTTTATAGTATATATGCAGGCGCAGACGCAAGTCCAAAATGCGCCAACTGAAATTTATCGCGGAGGGAACTAAATCTTAAGCTAGATTTACCTATCGTTGGGCGAAAATTTACTAAAGGTATATAACAATGTGCACAACTGTGAACGATTGTCTCTTCAAGCGTCATGTTCTTCGAAGTCTTCATAACTAAATTATCAAACCTTTGCGAAATTAAATATCAAAAAGATGTCAGAACCGTAGCTTCTGTTTATGAACAAATGACCTTGCTTGCATTGCGAAAATTGAATCATACGGGTAATATTTTCAGCAGAACGACGGCTAAAAATATTCTATTATAATGGCCAGACAATATTAGTATACAAAGACTCTATAGCTATAACAGCTTGAGAAGCACTTCTGAAAGACCGATCAATGTTGAAGTTTAATACCTTCAATACCTTCCGCCGGACCGCCTCTAGAGAGACTGCGTCTTAATTCACAGTTTTGCCCATTGTTATATACCATTAGTAAATTTTCGCCCAACTATACGCAAATCTAGCTTAAGATTTAGTTCTCCTTGCGGTAAATCAAAAGGTCCAGAAAATGGCAAGCAAAAGTTCAACCAAACAAGACGAAGAAGCTCTTACGCATCTTCCGTGCCCTCCAAACTTCCCGCGTGCTTCATATCTCGATGAACGCACACTGACATATCAACCAATTGTTAAGAGAGTGTCTCTGTAAGAGCGGTCCGGTCGATTTTGCTTGAGACA